CCAGCCATGAGATAGGGTCTTGCTAAATTGCCCATGCTGTTCTTGAACTTGCCAAGGCCTCCCTTGGCCTCCCTAGTTACTAGAATTACATAGATGCACCATAACACTTGGTTTGTGCACATTTTTTTGTGTCAACATTATGTGTTCATTTCTCCTAGATATAGAACTAAGAATTGACTTGATAGGTAATATGGTAACTCTATAATTAACCTTTTGAAGAATGACCAGATTATTTTCCAAAGTTTCTGAACCATTTCATATTAACCCTAGTTATATATGAGGGTTCCAACAATTTCTACATATTCTTACCAACATCTGGGTTTTTTTTAAAACTGTAGTCTTGCCAATATGACAGTGTTCATTGTGGTTTTGGTTTGTACATACTTGATAGCTAAAAATGTTGAGCATCTTTTCATGTGCTTATAAGTTGTTTATATATTATACATGTAATATAAGTCCTTTATCAGATATTATTTGCATATATCCAAAATTTTTCAAAATATTTTTTTAAGGCTGGGGATGTGGCTCAAGCGGTAGCGCGCTCGCCTGGCATGTGTGCAGCCCAGGTTCGATCCTCAGCACCACATACAAACAAAGACGTTGTGTTCACTGAAAACTAAAAAATAAATATTAAAAAATTCTCTCTCCTCTCTCTCTCTTTAAATAAAAAAAAGAGACATTTAAAAAATATTTTTTAGTCATAGATTGACACAATATCTTTATTTTATTTATTTAATTTTTTATATGGTGCTGAGGATGGAACCCAGTGCCTCACACATGCGAGGCAAGTGCTCACATTGAGCTACAACCCTAGCCCCTCCAAATTTTTTAACATCTCTATGGAGCTCTCTTTAATTTTGATTGTTATAATAGCTAACTAATTCAGGTTTGAATTTTTTAATTAGCTATTTAATTGGCTAATTTATATATTTACCTAAAGGTTACATAAGTTCATTTTTTCAGTATCTTTGTTTTGTTTTGTTTTTTGGTACCAAGGATTGAGCCCAGTCGTGCTTTACCACTGAACTACATCACCAGCCCTTTTTATTTTTTATTTTGAGACTTAGGGCCTCACTAAATTGCTGAGGATGGCCTTGAACTGCCTCAGTCTCCTAGTCACTAGGATTACAATGTGTACCATCACACCCAGTCCAATACCTTTTGAATTGGTAAATTCCACACATATTTGTATGATCAAGTATACAATTAGTATATGGTATTTATAATATATTTCATTTTATATATGTCATCAGTTTTGTCTTAATCCTTTTGGAAATCTAGGACCATTGTTATAGTCATTTATCTCATACTTGAGAGTCTGACTTGAGGTCAGTAGGTACTGATCTGTTTAATTGCAAACCAAAATGTTGGTCTCATCAAGTATACTTATTTTAGCCCTCATATCAAAAGAGTATCAAATTTACAGGTACTAGTCCTTTTCCTTAGGTGAAGAAATTGCAGAGAAATTTTTTGGGGGAGGTGTTGGGGGGTCCCAGGGATTGAACTCAAGGGCACCACTGAGCCACATGCCTAACCCTATTTTGTATTTTATTTAGAGTCAGGGAGAGTCTCACTGAGTTGACTAGCGCCCAGCTTTTGCTGAGGCTGGCTTTGAACTCTCAGTCCTCTTGCCTCAGTCTCCTGAGCTCGGATTACAGGCATGCGGCTGTGAGAAATATTTTTATGTATTAAAAAAGTGTCCAATTTCTGGTATGTTCTTAAAACTATGGTTAATTCCTTTAGTTTGCTTAACCTTTCTTTGCCTTCTAGGGGTTATGGTGAGAAGAAATTAAAAGATAACATTCAGTGTGAGATTTTTCAAGTTCTTTATGAAGAAGCCGTAGCATCCTACAAAGAAGAAATTGTGCATCAACTGTCCAGCAATAAACCAGAAGATCTAGAAGATAATATAAATCAGATCCTGAAATGGATTGAGCAGTGGGTCAAAGATCATAACACTTGACTGGCCACTTTACAGTCACTCTTATTGACACCTTTCTACCCACTTCATAGAAATTGTCTACATATTATTAAAATTATTATTAAATAATATTATTAAAATCATGTTGCAGGCCTAGCAGATGCATAATGTAAAGGTTTGTGCCTGGGTCTCTTTTTCTCCACATGAAAGCTAAACAATGTCTAATATGAATATAATATTAAAAGTAAAAATTGTCATTTAATGCTTTAGTTACTAAAAAATAAATATGACCAAAGGAGTTAATATTCTTTATGCTTATTATAGAAGAAAATGCAGATGATTTATTAAAAAATAAAGCATCAGAATATTGCTTTTTTTTTTTAATTAAACATTGGAAGTAGTAATACTTGTACTCTTTACAAAATTCAGAAGGTACAAAACAATATACTAGAAGGTAGATTTCCCTCCCAAGCCACCCATCCTTGGGTCCCCCAGGTCACATCTCTTTAGGAAATTTCCTGTGTGTCTGAATTCAGAGATTTTATGCCTATAAAGCATGTGCATATACTTCCCCCTTCCCATGCTAGGGATTGAACCCAGGGCTGCACACATGCCAGGCAAGTGATCTACCACTGAGCCATGTCTCCAGGACCCTCCACCCCTTTTTCAATATTTTTGTAGTTGTAGATGACCTTTATTTTATGTATTTATATGAGGTGCTGAGGATTAACCCTGTGCCTCACACGTGATAGGCAAGTGCTGTACCACTGAGCCACAATCCCATCTCCAGCCCTTCTTTAAAAAAGAATACAGTAAGAGCTGCAGTTGTGGCTCAGTGATAGAGCACTTGCTTGACATGTGTGAGGCACTGGGTTCAATTCTCAGCAGTACAAATAAATAAAGGTCCATTGTCAACAAGTTAAAATATATAAAAAGTAGGGGGGCTGGGAGTGTAGCTCAGTGATTTAAGAGATCCTGAGTTCGATCCCCAGGATCAAATAAATACAGTAGCAAGGAATGCACACTTTTTTCATTTAAGATATTTGGAGGGCTGGGGATGTGGCTCAGGTGGTAGCGCGCTCGCCTGGCATGCGTGCAGCCTGGGTTCGATCCTCAGCACCACATACCAACAACAATGTTGTGTCCACCGAGAACTAAAAAAATAAATATTAAAAAAATTCTCTCTCTAAAAAAAAAGATATTTGGAAATTATAAAATATCGGCCTACTTTGTTTTTATTTTTTATTTTATTTTTTTGCTAATTCATACAGTAAACCTTGCCACCTTAAAGTGTACAGTCTGGCACCAGGTGTGGTAGTGCATGCCTGTGATCCCAGCGATTCAGGAGGCTGAGGCAGGAGGATCACAAGTTCAAGGCCAGCCTTAATATCTTGGTGAGGGCCTAAGCAACTTGGATATTGTCTTAAAAAAAAAAAAAAAAAAAAAGAGACTGAGGATATAGCTCAGTAGTAAAACCTCTGGGTTCAATCCCCAGAACTAAAAAAATAAAAATGTACAGGAGGGCTGGGTAGCTCTGTGGTAAATCATATTCTTAGAATATGGGAGGCCACAGACTCAATCCTCAGCACCACCACCCTTTAAAATAGTGTAGAGTAACTGGTTTTTAGTATAGTCACAAGGTTGTACAACCATCACAACTAATGCCAGAAGGGCTGGGGATGTGGCTCAAGAAGTAGCATACTCGGCTGGCATGTATGCGGCCTGGGTTCGAGCCTCAGCACCACATGCAAAGATGTGTCTGCCGAAAACTAAAAAATAAATATTAAAAAAATTCAATTTAGAAAAAAAAAACTAATGCCAGAACATTTTCATTATCTTCCCCTCAAAAAGAAAGTGACCCATTAGCAGTCACTCCACATTCTTCCTTTCTCCCAGGCCCTTGCAATTACTAATCTTTCTGTCCCTGTGTCTTTTCATATTCTAGACATATAAATGGAATCGGAGAACATGTGGCCTTTTGTGTGTAGTTTATTTAGCATATTTTCAAGTTTCATCCACATTGTAGCATGTACTAATAATACCTCATTCTTTTTCTCTTTTAATTGGGGCAGATACTAGAGATAAAACCTAGTGGCACTCTACCATTGAGCTGCATCCCTAGCTCATTTTATCTTATTTTGAGACAAGGTCTCACTAAATTACCCAGGCTGGTCTTGAACTTGTGATCCTTCTACCTCAATTAGCTGGGATTACAGACATGTAGCACCACGTTCAGCTTTGTGTTTCTTTTTATGGTTAATAACATTCCATCATATGGATTATCACATTTTGTCTATTCATTCCATTAATATATTTTTAATTCTCTTGGGTGTAGGTACTTGGGAGGGGAATTGGTGGGTCAGAGAACAATTATGTTTAGCATATTCACAAGGTTATGCGTCCATCAGCACTAATTCCAGAAAAATTTCATCATATCCTTCCCTTTTTTATTATTTTTATTATTTTATTATTTTAAAATATATTTTTCGAATTTTTAAAAATTTTCTTTTTAGTTGTTGTCAGATGTTTATTTCATTTATTTATATGCGGTGCTGAGAATTGAACCCAGTGCCTCACACATACCAGGCAAGTGCGCTACCACTGAGCCACAGCTCCACCACCACCCTTTTTTTTTTTTTAAAGGATTCCTAATCTTTCTGTAAAATTCCACTAAATAAGTACCACAAATAATCTAATTTGTTCCATACTGTGGATAAACATACAAAGATGATAAGTGACATAAATTACTATCCAGTCCTCTGAACATTTTTTTTAGTACTGGGGATGAACCCACGTGATAGTTAACTAGGACATACCACCTAGGATTCCATCCTTGCCTACTGTTTTCACTCAATACATATGCTTCTTACATTTGAGCAAGTTTATTGAGTAAATACTCCGGAGATAAACTGCAAATTTAAGATATACTATGCAAATTTTGACATTTCGTCAGTTCATTTTTTTAAAAAATAGCTTTTTAGTTGAACACAATACCTTTGCTTTATTTACTTAGTTTTATGAGGTGCTGAGGATCAAACCCAGCACCTTGCATGTGGTAGGTGAGTGCACTACCGCTGAGCCACAACCCCAGCCCTACGTCAGTTCATAAATAACTGCCTGTTATTTATGTGCAAGATTATACTAATCACTGTAGTGAGAGAACGTCTCCCAGGAAAAGTTCAATTCTAAGTCTGGTTTACAATGTACATAATATGTTCACTTTAAGGGAGCGAATAATTAAGGGCAATGTAGGTTGTACCTGGATAAAGGTAAAGAAGGTTATTACGGCAGGAAAAAGTTTATATTAGTAGTCCTTAATTCTAAATCAGTGTAATTTTTAGATCCAGACACATTTTTGGACCACTGCAAAGTTTGTCCATTTGCCACAGCGTGTTGGGTGTTAGGAATTACACGAAAAGCAACTGAAATAGGTCGTTCCCTGTAGCAGCTCTCTAGGCTGACGGGGCCATTCCCTCAGATCCTTCCTACTGCCACACCTTTGCTACAGCAGTTCCTTTGACCTACCGGGCCCTCCGCCTGCTTTTCAAACTCCGCCTCTACTCAGTTCAGATGCCATGTTTTCCCCTCCGGACTCCAGGCGACTTAACGCTTCAGCCGTCTAATTTCACTATTGCCTCACGCCTCGACCTGTTCTAAATCTCAAGCTACTGTTTGTATGTCCGTTACCCATAGTGGGCTTTGGAGTTGGAGTTGGATGTGGAAAGATCAGCATCGGTTACGCAGAGACTGCTGGCTGCGCGTCGGATCCACTGCTCCTGGCGAACCGGGGAAACTTCGGCTTTCGGCTTTTCCGGTGTGTGGTTGCGCCCACACCGTCACGTGACAAGGGGACGCGCAGCGGCGGCGCCCGCAACCCGGCCGGGCGGCGCGCGGTGAGCGCACCTGGGGAGGGGGGCGATCCTCGCGACCGCAGGGGGGGGTGATGATCGGAGTTGGGAGGGTCCGGGAGAGGGGCGCAGAATTGTAGAAACTTCGCAGGTAGCGCACAAACTGGCAAACTGACTCCTTTTCCCCTGGTGCCAGGTCAATGGCCTAATCTGGCATTGAAAGAATAATAGATTTCAAAGATCCTGTTTCCGCTTTTTTTCCTCTTCGTTGTTTTTAATCTATTACATTTGAACCTTAAGACTGCTGCGTACTAGATCCTATGTAGTATTCTGAAACACAACAACTTCCCAGTAGAAAAACTGAGGAAATCCTAATAAAGCTTGTGGTTTAGTTAATAGCATGTACCAGATGTTCGTTTCTCAGTTTTGGTAAGTGTACCCTACCCTAATGCTAGCATTGGAGGATTCGGGGTAATAGATATAGAAGAGTTCTCAATAATATCGTTGCAATTTATTATGAATATAAAAGTATTATTTAAAGAAATCAATAATGAAATGCTGCAGTGTAGAGAAGCAGTCCCATTTTTTCACTACAGAGAGTTCAAGTTAGTTCTTTGTCAAGCTTGACAGGAAGTAGGTGTCTGTTTGACCAATTTGTTTGCTAATGCAGTGTTGTCAGGCTAGTGGGTGTAGATCCTTCTGGTACAAGCTTTCTGGACAGGAGTCTGTCTTCTCTTTCACTTCCGTCCAGTAAATATCTTTGTTATGGCTTGTGTATGAGGTGTCCCCAAAAGCTCCTATATTAATGCAGGAATATGAAATGATTGAGTTTTGAGAGGTGTAACCTATAAGAAGTCCATCCTAGTTTGAGTGGACTAACTGGGTGGTAACTTTAGGCAGGTGGAGCATGGCTGAAGGAGGTGGGTCACTGGGTCATCGCCTGGAAGAGTATATCCTCCCTGCAGCCCCTCCACACCCCTACTTCTTGATCTGGCCATGCTGAGGAGCTTTCCTCCACTGGATCCTTCCCGGTGATGTACTGACTCACCTCTGACTCAGAGCAGTGAAGTCAGCCATCTATGGACTGAGAAACCCTGAACCGCAAATAAACTTTTCCTCCTCTAAGTTGTTCTTGTTGGATATTTTGGTCACAGAAACAGTGAAAGCTGACTAAATCTGTTTTGTTTTTATTTATTTTTACGTGATGCTGAGGATCAAACCCAGTGCCTCATACATGCCAGGCAAGCCTCTGACACTGAGCCACAAGGCTAACCCCTAAATTTGTTTTGTACAAACAAAGGAGATACTTCCTGCACCAAAGGATGTTCAGTTGCATGTGCAGTAAAACCCAAGGACAGCTAGGAAGTAAGGATTATTAAAAAGGGGCAGTATAGAGCTGGGAGGGTCTCAGAGAGAGTAGAAATCACATCTGGCCTATGGAGCCAAGAAGGCTACGGTCCAGAGTATTGTCCTGAACTGAGGAGGGCCTGAGAGGAGAACCTATGTTTGGGGTAGAAAATGGCACCATCAGAGGCTTGGAGGTGATCCAGCTGAGGGGGAACCTGGGAGCAGGTGCATTCCTTACATGGAAGTATAGAGTACCCTTGAGGAATACTGACAGGTGAAATTGTGAAAATGAGTAGTAGAAAACAGGTGGTACTAACTTTAATTATATATGCCATAGGAGCCATGGAATGTTTTAGGGCAAGAGAAGAATGTCATTAGATCTGTGCTAGAGCATTATTGACTTGGAAGCTGTGTAGGATGGCTAAGTGTAGATCAATTAGGAGCTATTGGTTTAGTCCAGGAGAAGTACTGAAAAGTTCAGCCAGGGCAGTGAAGTTAATGTATAAAATTATGGTAGGTTTTGGGAAAGTTGTTTTTGTTGTTGTTGTTTTGTTTTGTTTTCATTTTTAGATCTAGAGAACATGGCAACTAAAAGGTATGTGAGGACCATGATAACATGGAGGAGCATGATTGATGCCTTTGGAGAAATAGAGTACTCAGGAGGAGACCTGGGATGGGGGTAGGAAGGATAATGGTTCTTTTTGAACAAGCTATGTTTGAGTTGCTGACAGGATATCCAACTGAAAATGTTTATTTAAGAGTGTTAAGAGTGTTATTAAAGTGCAAGCCAAACATATTGAAGGGAGTGGAAGAGGAAAAGGAGTCTGAGCTGGCAGATAGGAGGCAATCAGGGACAAAAGAGAAGTATCTAGTTTCTTTTAGGGTTGAGGAGCCCTGGTGTTCCAGGAACCTGGGCATGACAAGTTAAAATAGCACAGCCTTTGTAGAGGTAGAAGAGGCTGAGGAATGAGACTTAATCTTGGATTTAACAATTAGGAAGCCACTGGTCATTTTTCCAAAAAAGTGGAAAGACTGCTAAGAGCCTTTAATCCAATCTGCATCCTTTTGCTAGTGGCCAGAGGACTGGGTAAGGAGCCAGATATAATTTATAGTCTTGGTTCTACCACTGCTTACCTTTTTATTTGGGGGCAAGCCCTATATGCCTGAATAGGAAAATTACATCCCTCAGTAAAACCAAAAGGACCCTTCTATTCTTAGCAACACCAGATTATTAGTGTTCCATGGAGCATCCTATGGAAAATGCTGATACAGAAACAGAGCTCTAAAGAAACAAACAAAAATCCTATTTCATCCACTCATTTAATAAATAGAGAAACTAATATTCAAATTCTTTTGTTTTTTCCTTTCTGAGATGGGTCTGGCTTTGTAGCCCAGGTTGGTCTTGAGCTCCTGAACCTGAGCACTCTTCCCACCTCAGCCTCCTGAGTAGCTGGACTGCAGAATCATGCCACCATGCCAACTGTACCTGATTGCAGTGGTGCCAAAAGGAGCCTAAATTTAACACATTAAACCCACTAGAAGCTTGATGATTCTTTATTATTATTATTATTATTTATCTTTTTAGTTTTTAGGTGGACACAACATGTTTATTTTTATTTTTATGTGGTGCTAAGGATCAAACCCAATGCCTCGTGTGTGCCAGGTGAGCGCACTACCACTTGAGCCACATCTCCAGCCTGAAGCTTGATAATTCTAAATATTTTCTTTTTCTTAGAAGTAATCTGTCCCAAAAGTGAAGTTCAATTGTTTTACTATATTACATATTAATACTATAAGCTTATAAAATGTAAGATAGTACACAGCCAACAGTCCTCAAAGTTACATTTTTAAAAAAAATTAGGTGGGACTGGGCTATGGCTCAGTAGAGTGCTTGCCTCGCAAGTGTGAGGCACTGGGTTCAATCCTCAGCACCACATAAAAATAAATAGAGATATTGTGTCCATCTATCTATCTGCAACTAATATATATATATATATATATATATATATATTTTTTTTTTTTTTTTTTTTTTTTTTTTAAAGAAAAAGGGATCTGGGCACAGTGGCGCACACCTGTAATCCCAACCTTTGGGAGGCTGAGGCAAGAAGATTGCAAGTTGGAGGCCAGCCTTATCAACTTAGTGAGACTCTGTCTCAAAATGAAAAATAAAAATGGCAGAGTAGAGTGCCCAAGGGTTCAATTCCCAGTACAAAAATAATAATAATAGGGGAGCTAGGTATGGTGGTGCACACCTGTAATTGCAGCTAATTAGGAGAGGCCAACTTAGAGAAACCTTGTCTGAAAGTAAAATTTTAAAAGGAGCTGAGGCCGGGTATGGTGGTACATACCTTCAATCCCAGTCCCAGCAATTTAAGAGGCTCAGCCTCTTAAGCAGGAGGATATTAAGTTCAAAGCCAGCCTCAGCAACTGATTGATGTCCTAAGCAACGAAGCAAGACCCTGTCTCAAAATAAAAAATAAAAGGGGCTGGGGATGTGGATCAGTAGTTAAGCACCCCTGGTTCAATTCCTAAATTATCAAAAATAAAAAAGGGCCCGTGATGTAGCTCACTGGTTGGGTTCATTTCCTGTACCAACCTTTCCTCCCCCAAAGTGGGACATTGGAGCATGGGAAAAACCATTATATTCAGCTCTGAATAGCAGGAAGGTATACCCATGACACCTTAATATATGTGAAACACTAAAAACTATTCTTAGACACCCTGTGGATTGCTTACTCTTTTCCTCTTACTGTTTTTACCCCTTGTATTGACCAATTCTCTCTTTGTTGCTGATCGCCTTATCATGACCACACCATTCTTGACATAGATCTGAGGTTGCACATAATAATCAATAATCTATAAATAGGAGTAAAGACTGCCTTCCAAGTGATTATTCTTTAATTCAGTGAATAATTTCTTATTTACCTTGTCAAGTTAGAATAGATTTTTTTTTCCCCTGTACTTGGATTTTTCCAGAACCTGGGGGTGTTCACCACTGAGTCACATCCCCACCCCCTTTTTTAAATTTTTTATTTTTAGGTGGACACAATATCTTTATTTTACTTTTTTTAAATATTTATTTTTTAGTTTTAGGTGGACACAATATCTTTATTTTATTTTTATGTGGTGCTGAGAATCGAACTCAGTGCCTCATGCATGCTAGGCAAGCGCACTACTACTTAAGCCACATTCCCACCCCTTTTTATTTTTACTTTTTGATTTTTAGATAGGGTCTCACTAAATTGCCTGAGCTGGCCATGGGCCTGGAACTAGCAGTCCTCCTGCCTCAGCCTCTGAGTAACTGGGTTTATAGATGTGTGCTTCCATGCCTATCTGACAGATCTGCTTTTTAAGGAAATCACCACAGAAAAGAACCAAGATGATTCTATAAAAATTTGGAAAACGAGTCCAATAGGCAATGTTGAATATTGCTTTAACAACATTATCAAGTGTGTTTGTTTCTATCCCCAACAAAAGTTTTATTCTCCCTTCTTATTTATTACTTTTTCTTTTCACTGATATGAAGCTGGGCCCCAGGTTTTTTTTTTTTTTTTTTAACAAGATTTGAGAAAAGGATGAAATATTTCTAAACCACTACAGCAAAGCAGCTGTTTTGAAATCCCTGGTGGTGAAAGCCTGTCTTAACTGCACTCCACACTGGAAGGAGTGTTTGGAACCTCTTCAGCTGCCCTACTGTG